ATGTGGTCTTAAATTAATTTCATAAAAATTTAAATATGGGCTTTGGAGATACTTAGGGAACTCCTAAAAATCAATTATAAAATGAATACAGAAAGAGATATTTGAAGTCGGTTTAATATTTCGTTAGTAAAAAAAGGGCTTGTTCATAAAGAAACAACACACAAAAACAGTATAACACATTTCGACCCACTGGGGCTCGCCCCTAGCCTTTATATTCCGACTTCTCATTAACACCCTTCTTTTGTCGCGAAATGAAATTCCAATGTTTGCACTATAGGCAAAGTAGAAGCTACCGCTCAGTGAACTCCGGAAATTCAATTTCAAACTTCATTAGGAGTGGGAAAAAAGGCTTTCCTTTCTTTCTTTCTTTTTAAAACGAATTAGCGTGTTTTATTTAAACGATACTAAAAGTAATTTGCACAATTTTTATTAGAGTTCCTTACCCAAAGTATTACTAAGGGTATTACTAAAACTTTTCTATCTGTCTGTCTGTACGTCCGTCACCAGGCTGTATCTCATGAACCGTGGCAGTTAGACGGTTGAAAGTTTTACATATATTACTGTTGCCGCTATAACAACAAATACTAAAATCAGAAAAATAAATGTTTAAGTGTGTCTCCCATACAACGGACATGATTCTTTTGCCGCTTTTTTACTTTACATTTGTTTGAGTCTATAATGTTTCAAGCTACCTCAAGCAAATTTTCGTAACGAATTGCGCTGGATAATTCTTATATTGTAAATATCTTTTATGTATACATATATATTTTCATATAAAAATATTTACAACTTAATACGCTGGTAAGTAGAAAATAATTCCTCTTTAAGAAAATAATAAATAATCATAAATGTATTTCAAAATTAATAAGTACGACTAATAAAGAGATAGGAATGTTGTATATATATATTATATATATATGTATACATTATATAACTTTTGACTTTAAGCTGACTAATGGATTGTAATTTCAGTGCTTCTAAGTTTCTCCATTTTCACAATTTAGCGATAAAACTTTCGGATAAGAGATAAGTAAGTGAAATTTTTTCACAATGTTATACACAATTGATAATGAAATTTTATAGTTTTCAATGTATACTGATACTTTTTTTTTTATTCACGAAGTCTATAGATTAGGGTGATACAATAAATTTATGATAACCAGGCGAACATTGTAAAAGTATATAAGAAAAACAATGAATTACTCATAACGAGGCCATACAGAGATGGCATAAAAAACATTCTAAGCTACTTTATGTTAGTAGAGTCAGTCTACCTATTTTCTTAGGTAGATCAACTCTACCAAAATAAAATAGTTTTAAGACCAAGTACTGTTAATATATAAATATACTTTTAAAATTTATGCTACTAGGCATGGCCAGTACGAGGCTGCCAATCAAGAACATTTCTTCCCCATCGGTTATCAGTTCTACGAGTTATATGGCCGGCCCATCGACACTACAGCTTATTTGTCTCCAGAGCTAAGTAGGCTATCTTTGTTCTACTGCGGATGTTTTCGTTGCAAACAATATATAACTATATATATATATATATATATATATATATATATATATATATATATATATATATATATATATATAGTTATATTAAGTATGATTATCTATTATCTAGTATCCATAATACAATCTTTGCTTATTTTGAGATAACGTTGTGTAATAATGCTATTTATCCTGAAATATTTTGAATTTATTATTATAGAATTACACATGCATCAGACTGCAGTTTAACAATTGTAACTACGTATTAATTTGTAACGCTGTTGATGATTTGTATGTTGTTTTTACCTATAATTGGAGTTGCACCAATTTTGTGTCTTGTTTTCTTTTTTTATTACTTGTATTATATATGGTGTCTACTGTGTTGGTGCAACTAAGTAAATCAATAATTTACATATTTCTGTTGATGTCACCACCTGCTAACTATTATCTTATGATTGTAACTTTACATCGTACTTTTAAAATAAGCAGTGGAACCCTAAATACATTTTCATTTCATTGCTCGTAACCCCTGCATTACCGTTTAAACGTCGCTTTGCCGGAGAAGGATCTACAGACAGAGCTAGTTCATTTTGAATATATAAAGCTGAAGTCTGAAGGAAACCGCTCGTGCTATCTAAAGCAGAAGAATGAAGCTATAGTGAAAATATTTAATTTCATGCATATTATGGCAGGTTAATGTATTTATATAATTCACATGTTCATAATCCGTATTACATGAAAATGCCCAAATATCCAAAACTGAAATACCTGTTTAAGCTTTTTACATTCATATTTATATATATATATATATACATTTATATATACATACATATATATATATACACACACATATATATATATATATATATACATATATATATATATATACATTTTTTATTTACGTGTGTGTTTGTGTTTGTATCGTTTAATATATGTTTAACTGATAAACGCCAATAATATAAATATATATAAATAAATAATAAATATATAATCGTTACGTTTGTTGAGCAAGTCATTTCTTAGTTGTACTAACACCTTTCCATACTATTTGAGTCGTATGGAAACCAATTAAAATCCTTGATCAATACCAAAAAAGACAAAACTGTCGTTTACTTGTTCCCAATCAGAAGATCCCGGCGGACCAAAATGCCGGCTCTTCTGTGTTGGTATACACTGGCGATCTCTTGATAGTTTTATACGTACAGAAGAGCTTTAAACAAACCTAATTTGAACGAAGAAACTTTGATTTCAACATTTGGTCGAACAAAAGCGCCTCGATCGTGGTTACATTAAGTGGGCTTATAGAGCCATTGGGCGAGTTCAATACTCCTCATTTCCACACGGTGGATATATGTAATTCACTAGCTAGTTCTTTACTTTAAACGTATTATTGCCTATACGTTAATATCTTTTATTGTGATTTTCTGCAATAAATCTCACAGAAGTTCGTTATAAGTAATCGGATAAACACTACTTTTGACTCACTTACTTTTATATAATATCATTGTTTTACCAAAAGACGCAATAATATCATCTTTGGATTAACGATTTCCTTCATATCATTGAGTTTTATGTTGCTGCCTTTTATACATTTTATTTTTACGTTATATTATTTTATCTGTTTAATATTAAACCGTTACTTAATAGAGGTTTATTTGAATACACACATTTTCATACATTGACTCGGTTCTTACAATATGGAGTATATAGTTATATTTAATTTGTAATTAAGAAACGAATACTTCGAAAATTTATTTGAACTCTATTGTACGTTGAACAGATGCCCGTCTCCCGGCGTCCTTTCATGCTTATTAAACAAATCACATCTTTCTGAATTTTTCAAATAAATTTTGAACCAAAGTCTGCGAGACGAAAATGGGGGATTAACTTTCATAAGTTTGGGTGTCAACGCCTCCGCAGCGACGCGTGACGTCATTAGACACGACGTGAGCACTAACTAACGGTGGGTGCTTTGGTCCCTAACGTTCTGTTTGAATTGATGTTTAAGCGATAATTTACCTTCGAACTTAAGATTTGAATTTGAAAAGAAGGTCTTACTTATCTTTTGCCTACGAATTTTGTCAGCGTTTCGAAATAAAGCGGATATTTTTACATGACACAAGTACCCCGCATACTCTTATGCGGGGTAGTTGTTACTCTTAGCTCTCTAAGTCCCAGCGCTAGCTATTAATTCAATATACTCGAGCGATTTGAGTCCAATTGGCACCAGTGCATTTTTTATAACGATTTTAAATATCACTAGCTATTAAAACATGAAGAAGAAGTACAAAAGATTGTCGCCGCTGTGGGAATCGAACCCACGTCTTCGGCATTCGCGGCCTGACACTCTAGCCACTGAGCTAAACGGCTGATAGCCACAGCGACGAAAATCTTAACGCCTTCTTTCTACATTGTTATTTAGCATTTGAAGCAATGCTTGGCGCATCTATTGTTATATCCTTTCCAGCATACAAACAATTTCGAATATCGTTTTACAACGATAATTCGAACGAGAGATGTCGCCATTGCTTTTTAAAATTTTAAAGTTTTTATAGTGCTAATCTCTGCACTTAAGATTGAGAAGAACGAAAAGATTGTCGTAGTACGAAGAAGATCACTAGCTAGGCAGAAAAGAAAAACATCAAGAGGAAACCTGTATATTTTCGAAGTAATAAGCACAATAATTGTTTTAAATATATGTTGATGTCCGCCAATCCGCAGTAAGGTTGCGTGGTGGACCATGCCCGATTACCCTCTGTACAGAGCCCTTTTCCCAGTAGTGAGACGTATATAAGTTGTTACTTTATTTTTACTTTACCCCATATGCTTATATAGCGTAAATTCCAAATTCTATTTTTATCCGTTTATATATACTTGTACAAACTTTCGTATTTGTAATAATTGTGCAAAGGCAATTTTTATAATCAAAGTATTATGGTTTTGATTTCAAGTATTACTTATTCTTTATCTTTATAATCAATTTAATTATTCATGCACTACAGAGATTCATATCAACTCTATATTATTACTGGCAGAATTTTTTTTCCGTTATCATCTGCCAAAATCGTCGTTACAACATTTATTTCAAGCCAAGGCGTATGTTCAACGTATAAACCGTGTTTTAAACTTCACTCAGTCTCCATGAAAATATTGAACTTTGTACCTTTGTAAGCAATTTTTTAATAAATTACTCATGAAGCTGTTACTAGTTATAAAATAGAACATATAGAAATTTACCTGGCTTCATTACTAAACATTACTCTAAACATTTCTTTTGCAATCTCAATTAGTACCATAAATTAGTGCGTTAGCGGTCAAACTTTACACTTGCAGGAATAATTCATTAGACGATGAATCAACTAACGACATAATAACAATTAATTATTAATTTTGTAACTGACAAATACATTCAAACTTAATATAAAAAGGAGAAGAATTTAATAATCTCTTCAGTCGAAGACAAAAGTTGGAACGGACCACAGTACAATCTTTGTTATATGAAGATGAAGAACAATATGAAAACATTAGCAATCCTCGCTACTATTGCTCTAGTGAGGGCAGAATTCAGTTGTCCGTCCAAAAGCGGCCAGTATCCAGATGAGAAGCAGTGCGATAAATTCTGGGACTGCAAAGATGGCAAGGCCGCCGATAATTTGTGTCCAGATGGCTTGGTATACGATCCAACACAGACAAGAAGCATACACAAGTGTGATTACCCGTTCGACGTGGAATGCGGCAACAGGACCTTGTTACAGTCAGCACAACCTTCCGCCAAGTGTCCTCGACGGAACGGCTTATTCGCTCACCCTGATCCAACTGTTTGCGACATTTACTACGACTGTGTAGACGGCGTCGCCAAGGAAATCAAGTGCACAGATGGAGCGCAACTTGATGAACAACCACCTGTGTGCAAGTGGTCGTACTTGCTCGCCAAAGAAGCTTGCAAGGTCTCGACACACAGCTTTGTGTGTCCGAAAGTTAAACAAAGCGATCAAACCATCATGCATCCCGTATACCCACACCTGAGTGACTGCCAAAAGTTTTACGTCTGCTTTAACGGGTTCGAACCGAGAGAATTAAGCTGCCCGTTTGGTGAGGTTTACAACGATGCTAATCAAAAATGCGATAGTCCAGTGAACGTGCCTGGTTGTGAAGATTGGTATGCGAAACCAGATGAGTTTGAAGACACAACCGAAGACGTTCAATTAGAATAAGTCCATTTGGACATCGATATCGAAATCAGAATTAAGGACCAGTCAATATTACTTAATAAGGTTATTTTCATTTGGAGGGTGATAGATTTATAATAAAAAAGTAACATATAGAATATTTTTCTGTTTCCTTTTTATGTTCCACTAAAATATTTTATTGAATTCTTAACGCAAGTTTCAATTAGAATAGAACTGAATATTTTTTCCATTCACAAACATTTGTCGGTTTTGTTACAAATTCTAGTTCATAATAAATAACAGGGGATTTATATTTACTTTACTGTCAAAAATTATGCACGATCCAAAAATTGAGCAAAATCCTGAGCATTGGTTCAAATTTATTTTTAATACCCATATAATACCCATAATAATAAATTTAACTACGCTTCTTAAGAAAGTAAATCGTTAACAATGAAATAAATAAATCGTTATCAATGAAATAAACTATTGCAATGATAAAAAAGTACTGTGTTGTGGAATTTCATGTAATTCATGTTGAAAGCTGGCAAAATACCAAACGTTAAACGAGGCATGTGGCTTCGGAAATTGGAAAAGTTTTTCTATCACAACTGACACGAGTTTAGTGAATATTAAAAATCCCCGATCCAAATCACAAGAACGAACGCAGCAACTAAATGATTCTATAGTCAAATCATGGAATAGTTAATCTGTTGTGTCTATGTTATTTTTACCAATGTTTAATTGAACAACACTAGTCGTATCTAACTTGTGTTAACATTGTAGTCTTTCACTCAACTCACTTAACACTTACTTAACTGTTTTCATATCACTCGACTTTCTTTCTATATTGATTTCGAGTATCTAGTGTAAAGTAACAAAATTTCGCGTATCTCTCTCTTTAATGTAAACTATAATTATCTGACTAGGTATAGTAAGCTAGTCAGTGCTACTACTTTAAGTCTTGGACAATTTCGTCTATTAAAATTTGTATAAAGATTTGTATAAAGATAATAGCAAAAAAAAATTTTTCGCCAAATTTATTTTTGCTATTATCTACAAATCAATCGGTTTTGTTTTTAAAGATATTTACAAGTATTCCGGAACATGAAGGACATGGCCGTAGAGAATCGTTGGTATAGGTAGCCACTGAAGTTGAGCACGGAAGGAAGATACATGGTCATACTTTCTTTGTGCTTTGTATGTTCGTAACAATATTTACAAATATTCTGGAACGTAAAGGACATGGCCGTAGAAATCAGGTAAATTTTTATTAAGGGTATTATTTTCTAGTTGTCTAAAATTTGTTGTGTGATTTATCTAATGTAATTTTACTAACGCAAAGTAGATGCAGAGAATGTAGAAAAGATTCTAAATGAAAGTATTGTTTTTGATAAACGATGTACTTTATTAGTCATCACACATATATAAAAGTTTTCACTGACAAGGAGAATTTGTCTAAATTATTAATATCACAGAACAATTACCGATACTTTAATCTGCTTATTAATCTGACATAATAAATATTATCATTAGGTATTTAGAAATTTTAAAAGTTGTCGTTCTACTCAGTATAAAGAAAAAAAACATATTTAATGTAAGCAAGACAATGATTATTGTAACTGCCTGTCATTACATATATTTCCCACGGACGGGGATAAGCTGTATTTTTGTGCAGAAAGAAATAATGTCGAAAAATATGAGAGTAGAGATAGACTGCCCGGATATTTCTATAATCTGACGAGCATACACCGGGTATCTAATACTTAAACGAGGTGCAATCCGAGAAAAATACGACACGGCTTGAGTGGATAAGGCGCAGAATTTCATTTTCGTCCCGAAGAAATCCTCTTACAGATGTGAATTCTCCCGGCAAATGTGCGAACTGCGTTTGTTTTCAATTTGCCAGTGCGGTGCAAGTGTAAAATTATGCCGGGCAATGCAAGTGTTAAATTATGAGTGGAAACTCAATAAACATCATAAGCTCATAATTTTTTTGTGTCTATTTATGTTTAGATTTAACTAAAACTTGATGGGAACTTAACTGACTTGAGTTTATAAACAATTGGACTTTATTTGTACCGTACTTTATTTATGCATACCTATTTATTAATAAACAAAAATAACATTTCAACAGAATATAGAACGCTATAATAGCCGAGAGACCAAACAAACATCGGGTTCTATTCTAATAACACAAACATCTTTACAGAAGACGTTTGAGGACGTTATAAAGTACAATAATTGAAGTTCATTTAATATTAATTCATTAAAAAATTATGAAAAGATACATAATGCATATATTTTTTATTCATTTTGTTTCATATTTTAGTTTTTAGTAGTTATATACAAATTAAAATAACTATAAAAATTTCACCTTTAAGGCACTTAGGGTTGTTAGTAAGGTTAAGGTAGATTGTATCTGTAGTAGCGAAGACACGAATGGGCAGGTCCGTCTGGTTAAGTAAGTGAAAGGCTTAAAGTGAAAGTGTTATTCTACTGCGTTTCATCTGGTGAGTGAGATAGCCGGGGCCCACTTTATTTAAATTTGAAAACGCACCTGCAACCCTACAGGTATTGCAAATGTTGATGGGCGGCGGTTATGACTTTAAGTGAACCGCTAATTTGATTGCTACCTCAAACACACGCATAAAAAATAGTGAAATATTAGCCTTTATTCTCTATTGTTTAAAAGAGCAACTCTGTGTGTTACCTAACCTTGGTTTGATTCAAGAGCAAGTATGAAAAAACTAAATACAGAAATTGGTTACAAATAAGATAATTTAGTTGCTTATGTGTGGAAGAAGTGTAAATGATGTACAATGAGAAAATCTGTGAATTTTTCACACAAATAAAAAAGATACGCTTTTTCGCCTACTAATGAAGTTTAAAATTTAATTAAGAGTTTCCTAAACGGTTAAGTTTACCTTTCAAATCATTCATTTCATTTACGTAATGTGAGAAGAGTAGCATATTAATAAGTTGGACGATAAAGGCTGTGTCGTCTTGTCATGGGCGATGATATGTTTTTGCCTGAAAACTATCATTTATCATATGAAAGAAACGTGTGGGTGAACCCCCCTCAGAACAAAGTTTCTTACGCTTTTCCCGCAATTTACAATATAATATAGTAGAATATTTTCATTTTTATTAAATTGTCATAATTCTAATTATTTGCGTGTAATGTTGAAGGATGCATGCTAAAAAGTTTAATGTACTATTTAAAATAAAAATTACAACACATTTTATTGTTCAATTTTATTATTCATTAACTCAAAGAAGTGAATCTTAAAACATGTAAAGTAAAACCTATGCATATATACACTGGGCCGCAAAAATAATATATCACAGACTTTGTAAAGCTCATATATAGTCTTATATTTATTTATTATTATTTTTTATGATGTGAGAATGTGGAAAACGAGCTGACGGTTCACCATTTTTTTTATCTGAATAGTTGCCAAGCGAGCAGACGGGTCACCTGATGTTAAGTGAACGCCCATGGACATCTGCCACACCCGGATCTTCCAGATGCGTCGACAACCTTTTCAATATTGGGCTCCGGCCACCTCACTCAACAGACGAAACGCGAAAGTATTATACTTCCACTTTACGCCGGTCTTCTGTGAGGTCGTGGTACTTCCGGACGAGCCTGCCCATTTATTGCAACAGCCGAGGCTGCTGCGTGGCCCTACCACCGTAAATTTTCGGTCATTATAGGTCAGCAACCAATAGATGGAGTGCAAATGTGCGGGGAGTCGATGGATACAGATAGCTCAGGATCATCCTTCGTGGCAGTCTATGGGGGAAGCCAATGGTCAGCAGTGGACTCGAACAGGCTGAAATGACGATGATGAAGATGTTGTGAATAAAATCCAATTCAACGGCCAGTTATAGTCCACCATTGCCTCTTGCGCCAGAGGGTG